TTCAATGATTTACTCATTGAAAATACCTTTTTTTTATAAACACGAACAGCGACTTTACACATGGAGCTCACCTGATGGGCTGGATATGAGTCAGATTGGCTGCATCTAAGGAAGGGCTCATTGGAGAAGCTGAATGTCAGTAGTAAAAACAAGGCCAAGGGTGGACTGTCAGGAAGACCATAAATTACTCTTGTGAAAGTTCAAATTGAGGCAGAAGAAATTTGAAACAAATCCCTAAGAACCAAAATATGCCCTTGAATTTTATTTTATTTTAATTTTAAAATCATCTCAAGAGTAGATTTGAAGCATTGAGGACCATTTCAGTTGTGGGTTAATGTATCAAAGGGATCCATGGAAAGAGAACAAAATATCATTACAAAGACAGAGAAGAAAGAGGAAAAAACAAAACCAAAAACCAGAGTGAAATAGATGTCAGAAGAGACTCTTAAAATTGCATTAGGGCATCCAGAAACCAAAACAAAGGGAAAACATGTTGAAGTTAAAGAAGATTGCAAAGGAGATTTCAAAGGGCAGCTCGAGAAGACAAAGCAAAGTATTATAGTGGAATGTGTAGAGAGCAGAAATTGGAGAGTAAAAAGGGAAGAACTCACTTTGCATTTCTCAAGATCAGAGAACTAAAAAAACAAAGTTAAACCTCAAGTTGCATGTTAAAAGATGTTATGGACAATATATTGGATGACCTAGGAAGCATCAAAAGAAGATGGAAAGAATACAAAGAATCACTGTCTAACAAAAAGAACTGACAGATACTAAACAATTTCGGGAAGTACCATGTGAGCAGGAGTCAATAGTAATGAAGGAGAAAGCGGAAGCTGCACAGAATTCATTGGCAAAAAATAAGGTCCCAGGAGGAGCCGGTGGGATATATCTTATTTCAATTAAAAAATGCAGGCATGGTCACACTCACCACTCCATGCCATGAAATTTGGAGGACAGTTGTCTGGCCAACTGACTGGAAGAGTTCCATAACTGTTCTCATTCTCAAAAAAAAGTAGTACAACAGAGTCTGAAAACTATTGAACATAACATCAATATAACATGCAAGCAAAATATTACTGAAGATCATTTTAAAATGCCTAGAACAGTACAGAGATAGAGAACTGTCAGAAGTTCAAGCAGGATCTAGATGAGGCCGTGGTACCAGGATATCATTGCTTATGGCAGATGGATCCTGGCTGATAGTAAAGAATATCAGAAGCATATTTATGCTTTATTTACTATGCCACCGCATTTGATTGTGTGGATTATAACATGTTAGGGCTACCATTGAGAATGGGAATCCCAGAGCACTTAACTGTGCTCACGTGAAACCTCTACCAACACCAAGAAGCTACTGTGTGAACAGAGGAAGGGAATCGTGCATGGTTTAAAATTAAGAAATGAATGTGTCAGAGTTGTACTGTCTCTCCAAACCTATTCAATCTCTATGCTGAGAAAATTATTTGAGAAGCTGGACTGTATGAAAAAGAATGTGACATTAAGTTTGGAGGAAGATTCATCCATACCCTGCATTATGCAGGTGACACAACCATGCTTGCTGAAAGTGAGGAGGACTTGAAGCACTTGTTGCAAAAGATCAAAGTATACAACCTTCAATACGGATTGCATCTCAACATCAAGAAAACAAAAGTGCTTAACACTGGACCTATAGGCAATAACATGATAGATGGAGGAAAGATTTAAACTGTCAATAACTTCATATTACTTGAATCCACAATCTACACCCTTTGTACCAGCATTTAGGAAATTAGGAAATGTATTGCCCTGGGAAAGTATACAGTCAAAGACTTCTCCAAATTATTAAGGAGTAATGATGTCAGTTTGAGGACTAAGGTATGCCTGATTCAGTCCATGGTCTTTTCAATAACTTGATATGCATCAGAAAACTGGACAATGAATAAAGATGACATGATAATTAAAGCTTTTCAGCTATGGTGTTGGGAAAAAAAGTACTGTTTACAGACTGCTAGAAGAATAAACAAATATGTCTTAGAGAGGGTGCAGCCAGAGTCCTCTTTGGAGGCAAAGATAATAAAGCTTCACCTGACATACTTTGGACATGTTGCTAGGAGGACCTATTCCTTGGAAGGGGACAAGATGCTCAGAAAAGTAGAGGGTCGGCGAAGGAGAGAAAGACCCTTAACAAGGTGGATAGACCAAGTGACTGCTGCAATGGGCTCTAGTGTGTCAGGAAGTATGAGGATGGCACAGGATAGGACAAGGTTCAGATCTGTTGTTCATAGGGTCACTATGAATCATACTCAACGGTACTTAACAACAATAAAAATATAGCTCATCTGATGTTCACTCATTAGTTCTCATGACCTCAAACCTGTACTTGATGGGACAGCACCGTAATGGTAGTAATAGTATTTTGATGAGTGTCAGAAAGTAATGTCACTATGTTATTGTGAACCATTGTATATACCTTGTAGTTTCGATACAGTGGTCATAATAAGGCTTTATTTTGTAACTAAAGATTGTACTTAAGTTGTTCATAACTCAAGGAATACCTGAAATGTCAAATGCCTGCTTTACTGCCATTAGGATATTTGATAATTTTCTTTTGATGGAGAGAACGAACTGTTGCGATCAAAGAGCTACTAGTTTATTGTACCTACAAGCTCTTCCTATTTCAACTCTCAGGGAAAATTTGTTGGCTAAACTGGTTAGTTGAGTGATAGACATTATCAGTTTAAAGAAAAAAGGTCATTTTACAAAGGCTGAGTTCTCAGGTTTCAGACAAAGATGCAAAGCTAGCACTGAAACTCCAGAAGCACAAAGACTATAGTATTCACCCAAATTTTGGAGGAACCAAGTGTACTAATAATCATAAGCAGTTTCATTTTTATTTTGTTTGCAAGTGTGAATTTTGATTCAAAAAAATTAATGGAGGAAAGGTGTTTACAGCCTCAGCAATGTTGTGGGGTTTTTCCCCAATTTAGTCCTCAAGTCTGCCAAGAACCAAGTCATTATTTTATTCCCGCACTGGTGGCCTAGTGGCAAGAAGCTGTTCTGCAATCCCAGAGGCACATGGTTTGAATCCACCAGCTGCTTCATGGGGAAAGGATGGACAATCTCCTCCCTTGTGATTAACTGCCTCTGAAAACCCTCCAGAGGGTCAGCTATGGGTCAGTTCTGACTTGACAGTACACAACAATAGCAAAAAGTCTAACTTTTCTTGGAAACCTTTTTATTCTACCTGCCTTAGCCATAATTGGGTTTCTGCTGGCCAGTAACCATATGAACAAGCTGATATATAAGTCAGGCTAGTAGGCCTCAATAGCATTTAAAATTCTTCAGAAAATTTGTAGGGGTCTTCATGGAATTTAGGAAAATCTTTCACAATGCTATGTAATTCTGAGAATGTCCACAAGTCAAAAATTGTATGAAGGACTCTTTACATTGTTGTTGTTATGTGCAATTGAGCCACCTGTGACTTACAGTGACCCTAAGTACAATAGCTCTGATCCCTGCCCTATCCTGAGCCAGTCTTGCTGTCTTGGACAAACCCACCTCATTACCCCAGTTACTGTGTCAATCCATCTCATATGGGGTCTTTCTCTTCTGCTCTGTCCCTCCATCCTTCCAAGCATGATGACACTCTACAGGCAGTGGTCCCTCTTGGCCACATTCCCAAAGTATGTGAGATGGAGCTTCAGAATCCTTGCTTCCAATGAGCAGCCTTATTTCACCCTCTCAAGGACAAACCAGTTTGTTCTCTTGACAATCTATGATATGCCAGGCATTGAAAACCAAGGAACTCATGAAATATTATACAAAATGAGTGACCCTGGAGGACATTATGCTGAGTGAAATATCTCAGTTACAAAAGGACAAATATTGCATAAGGCCACTGTTGTAAAATGGGACTGACTTCAGGGTTGGGGGGAGACTGAGAAAGATAGGATAAATAATGTATACTGCAATGAAACAGATGAGGGAGAAAACTGTTTAAAAGGAATATATGATTAAGTGTTATTGTCATGACAGGAGTCCAGAATGAAGGCTGCACAGTGGAGTAGGCTTGGGGGGAGGGATTATGTAACAATGAAAGAATTTTTATTTTACTTTTCAAAGACAAGAGCGAATTGGGTTGAAGGGTGGGCAGGGAGAAAAGTGCAATAATGAATGAATGGAAACCCTAAGTCTCTGTAAACTTTCATTAAAATTAATTTTTAAAAAATAAAGTCACTGAAAGCCAGAATCTGTGTAAGCCAGAAACTGGTCAGAGATTGAAAGCTCAAATGTTGTTAGGGGCCATTGAGTTAACTATGACTCATAGAGACCCTGTGAAAAACAGATCAAAACCTCACCCTATTCTGCACAATCCTCATGGTTTCTAAATGCTCAAGCCTTTTGTTATGGTCACTGTGTCAATTCATCTTATTGAGAGTATTCTCTTTCTCTGACCCTCCACCTTTCCCAAGACATTCTCTTTTTCAAAGCACTGACCCACCCTGAAAACACACCCAGAGTATGTGAGATGACATGTCACCGTTCTTGCTTCGAAGAAGCACGCTGGTTGCATTTTCTCCAAGACAGATTTGTTTGTGCTTTTGCCTGAGCAAAAACTCAGCATTCTTTGCCAACCCCACAATTCAAAGGCATCCCTTCTTCTTTGGTTAACCTTCTTCATTATCCAAATTTAAGATGCGTAGGAAGCAACTGTAAGTATCATGACTTTGATCGGGCATACTTCAGTCCCAAACTGACACATTTTTAGCACTTTGGAAAGGTCCTTGATTGCATATTTTTCCAATGCAAATCAAACAGTTCTTACTAAACAAGAGAGTTAGCAGAAAGTGATGAATTCTCCCTGTCAAGGCAGAAACCGTCTACAGAACCTACAAAACCACCGTGGTCCCACCTACTCCTGGCTCTGCGGGCTTCTCTGTGGTAACTCCACTGGGTCTCTAATTGTCTACAGTTATTTTCCTTTTGCAACTTTATCCAATTATATCACTCTCTTTATGCAGTTTCTCATCTTCACATGAAACCGGAACCATCTCCTATGCCACAAACCCAAAATACTCAAGAGACTCCTCTCCCTGTTTCCAGGTAAGAAGCCTCAGCTGTGTGCTGGTTTGTCTATCAAAAACCCTGTATTGTCTCAGATACCACTCACCACAGCTACCGGGCAAACACAGGGATCTTTGACCTTCAAAGATGAAAAGTGGGATTTGACTCCACCGAATTGAATGACTCACTGTTGTGAGTGCAGAAATATTGACTAAATGTTAAAAAAGTTTAGTGATTTTAATTAGACTTGAATGTACTCCAAAGATTAGTTGGAAGGGTTGCTAATCCATCTGGGATGGAAAGTTGGCTGTTTCTAACTCTTTTCAGTTAATTGCCCCTCTAAACCTTGCAGTGGCTTTTGTATAACACTTTGCAGATGGCCAGGAGGTGAAAGTTGCATTATCTGATTAAATATTTGCTTGATTAGGATGTTTTCACAACTGTCATCTCAGCTGAAGTGTTAAGGAATTTAAAAAGCCAGCAGATGACTCATTGGCCAAGCATTTAGAAACGAATGGTGGCTTCCTTCAAAGAAAGGAGCCCTGGTGTTCCTAGTGTGTGAGGAATTGCAAAGGTAGGTGGTTGGAATCTACTGGCTGCTTCTCAGGAGAATGACAGGCAATTTCTTTGTGTGCAATTTACTGCCTCTGAAAACGTGCTACAAGGTAAATTACAAGTCAGTTTTGACTCGATGGCAATGAATTTTTTTTTCTGTTTCCTTAAAATTAAAACCATTCATTGCCATCAAGAGTGCTCTGACTAACCCTCAGAGAACCGAGAAGAATTGTCCCCTGAAGCTCCATTTTTGTGGAGGCAAACTGTCTGACACATCTTTATCTCACACAGCAGAGCTGGTGGGTTCAAGCAGACAACATTTTGAGATTGGTGGTCTTGTACTGTCACACAACATTTTGTACACCTCTATCGGATTATCCTTTCATTCTCTAATACTGGTAAACAGTGGTTGACTTTAACCAACAAAAATGTATTCATTTGTTTAGGAAGCTTGTTGTTATGTGCCATCGAGTCAGAACTAACTCAGAGCTGACCGTCCAGTGGGTTTTCGGAGGCTGTAAATCACACTAGAGGAGATTACCCACCTTTCTCCTTTGGAGTAGCTGGTGGATTCAAACCACCTGACTTGAGTTTGACGGCACAACTCCTCATCTGTTAGACCAATTTATTTGTTTGATATAAACTTTTATCTTTTATACTGGTTTACTTATGAAGTTTATATACATTGTTTTTCACACTGGATATTTTTCCATTTCTGTAACCCTCCTTCATGCATCAAAGTGTGTGACCATATGATTATGCCCCCTCAACCATCCTCACCCCTCCTTACATCCTCATACACATTTTATTATGTATCTGTTTCTACAATAACGGTCTTATCCAGTATTTGTCCTTATGTGACTGAGTTAGTTCACTTAGTATAATGCTCTCCAGTCCCTCCCAAGCTAAGTAGTGATTGACAAAATCATTGCTCCTGTGTGCTGAGTACTATTCCTTCATGTGGAGGTACCATAATTCCCTTGTTGATGTTGCTGTGTTATATGGAGTTGGAACTGACCCATAATGGACCATCCTTGGGTTTTCAGAGACAGTAAATCACACTGGAGGAGATTGTCCATCTTGCTCTGTGTTTTCCAGCTCTAGAAGTTTCTCATTTCAAGACCTGAGTCCAAAGGTGTCCTCTGCTTCTGGCTTTTCTTTTCTTGGTAGTACTAAGAACAGTCTAGTCTTTTGGGATAATATACTAGCATTTTTGTCTACAGAACAAGCTGCAGGACCTGCATACTTCCATATAGATAACAAAAAGCCAGATATTCTATTGACTTCATTAAGGCAAAGGATAGGTCAGGCTTCATGTCATCCATTCCGAGGTCCTAGTCAACAGTGCATTCCTTGGTAGGGAGGACGTAACATGTAATTGTATTTTACTGTTGAAGCCTTTGAAGTTTACTGAGAAATGCTGACCACAGCACAAAACAAACCAGAAAATCAGAGCTTATCTTGATAAAGCCTTTGACAAATGCTCTCATCTACAAAAGCAGGTGTAACATTCATTGCTTAGAAGTTGTCCTGGATCTCTGGTATCTTGATCTCTGGTAACAGAGACACCACAAGTGGATGAAACAGAGACAGCACAGGCTGATGACTTAACAAACAAATTTATCCTCTTACAACTTACGAGGCTCAATTCACTGCTGTGTGATTGGTTCCTCCTCACTATGATGACTCTACAGAGATTTTCAAGACTGTGCATCTTAAGAGCAGGAGGCTGTTCATTTTGCTCACACGGAGCAGTTGGCAGAGTCCAACCACTGGAGCTACACAGCCCTTTCGTTAGCAGTGCAACATGCTGCAGACTATGGCTCCAGGCCTTCAGTTTCAAGGTTAGAAGTCCAAATTCAAGGTGCCCACTCCAGCGAACGTCTCTCTCTCAGTTCTGGAGGAAGGTTGTCCTTGTATCCTTAAGCACAACAATGAGAGTGAGTGGACAGTAGTCGTTTCATCTTAATTGGTAAATAGTTCCTAAAGAAAATAAGTTATAACCAGACAAATAAGACATTCTTTGGTGACTATAGTCGCAAGGATAGTCTAAATCCATGGCTTCCCAATGGAAAAAACATGCTGTTGTTGGGTGTCATTGAGTCAGAATAGATGCATAGCTGACCCTCCAGCAGGTTTTCAGAGGCAGTAAATAGAATGGAAGGAACTGCCTATCATTCTCCTACCGAGCAGATGGTAGGTTCGAACCACATGCATTTAGGATTACAGCACAGTTTCTTACCTAACACTAGGCCACAAGAGTTTTCTGATATGTTCATATTTAGCAAAATATTCAGTGCTTTAGAGATGTAACTTTAGGACATTATTGCCCTTGACACTGAGTGGCATTTTACCCAGAAAAGGAAACACTAACATTCTTTCCATTCTAACATTTCCTTCAGCTCCTCATTCCTGGCGAGTAACCAGAGCATACAGACTAGAGGTAAGAGCATTTTACATCAGGATTAAAAAAATGAACAGGTAAGGCATCATACCGACTCGGTTCCCATACTGTGTGACTGAACTTCAGTAGATTTCAGAGTTACTAAACTGATATGCATAGATGTAATCCATTCTGTTTCATCAATGATTAGAGTTCCACCAGGGAAATATATGCAGGAGAAGGATGGGCAATCTCCTACGCATTTAACTGCCTCGAAAACCCACTGGAGGGTCAGCTATGGGTTGGTTCCGACTCTATAGTACACAACATCAACAAGGGAAATATAAAACACTTTTAATCCATAAGTAACATAAACACTTGGATAGCTTTTGCGTTTTGCTGTCGTAACTAGTTCTGTCATGAACATTTAACTCTTTCAAATAATTTGTGCAAGTGGTTTCATCTGTGTGATTTGATCAAATCTTTGGGATATAGCTGAGAATGAAATTTCTGAGCCTTAGACTATGTTATACTTCTACTGTACTAGAAGTAATTGCTAAAGGTGTATTAACTAGCTATATTTTCCAATTAGTCTCACTAGCAATTTATAAGTCCCCTCTGAATCCTTCAATAGTTGCTTTTGTCAAGCTCTTAATTTTTTGTGAATCCGTTGAGGATGAAATAGATTTATCTTAAGAAAAATCTGAGTAGAATATGGTGAGCAGAGGAAAGAATAGTGGTGAAGGCATTTGGAAAGATCCAATGGGAACCTGAAAAGATGGGGTCATACCAGGCACAGAACAATGGCCACTAATTTTATAAACCACAATGTACATGAGTGAGCATTTGAAACACAATGTGAAAGTAGGAACGTGTGAAACAATGTACATGAATGATAACCAGTGTGTATAAATTTTGTATGTAAACCAACATAAAGTTGTTGTTGTTATGTACATCGAGTTGTCTGTGACCCATAATGATCTTATATACAGCTGCTCTGAAGCCTTCCCTGTCCTGAGCCAGGCTCATTAATTCTGACACACCTAACCCCATTACCACAGTTACTGTATCAATCCATTTCATCCTGGATCTTCCTCTCCTGCACTACCCCTCCAACTTTCTGAGCATGATGCCCTGCTCCAAGGACCAGTCTCTCCTGGCCACGTGCCCAAAGTATGTGAGATAGAGCTTCACAATCCTAGCCTCCAAGGAGAAACTTAGTTTCACCCTCTCCAAGACAAACTTACTTGTTTTCTTGGAGGTCCATGATATATTCAAGACTCTTCTCCAACACCACAACTCAAAGGCATTGATTGTTCTTCTTTTATCCTTAGTCATTGTCCAACTCTCTGATGTATATCAGGTAATTGTGAAGACCATGGCCTGGGTTAGGTGCACCTTAGTCTCTAGAGTGACAACCTTCCTTTCCAGTACTCTGGAAAGATCCCTGATGGTGGATTTTTCCCAATGCAATTCGTCTTTTGATTTCCTGGCTGCCAGTGTCAAGAATGTTGATTGTGAAGCCAAGTAAGCTGTAATTGTTAATAATATCAATCTCTTTTCCATCCATCATGGTGCTGCCAGTTGGCTCAGTGGTGAGAATCTTTGTCTTCTTGATGTTGAGCTTCAATCCATATTGAAGACTACATAAGGGGAAATAATAAAATGGCAACTCTAGAAAACAGATTGCCCTCTCTCCACTACAGGCTTGTTCTCATTGCTATTTGTTGTTATTATTTGTGCTACGGTGACTGTTGCAATTTGCTCATTTCCTTAGTAAACTCCTTGATTAATTCTGTGAAGTCTATCATTTGTAGTGCATAGCTGATAAAGACTGCTTTGTTAGCTTAATGTTCTGATAATGATTGGAAAGAGATTTCTTAGAAAAAACCAAAAACCAGACAAAATCTGGGTAGTTTATAAAATAATAACACCTGTCTGGAATATAATCCTCTGAATTAATGATACAAGACAAAAAAATCAGTGACTTCCCCAAAACAAAACTGAAAAGTCAGGATGTGGTGTGAAAGAAGGATGAATGGAAACAGGCAATTCAGGGAGAAATTGGGAAGAGCGCTGTGACATTGAAGAAACTCTCTCTCTCTCTCTCTCTCTCTCTCTCTCTCTCACACACACACACACACACACACACACACGTTTGAGTTGTCAAATGGGAAGCTAATATGCTCTGATAACTTTTATTCGACCACAAAAAAAAAAAGAAAGAAAGAAAAAGAAAATGTTTCTTGAGATACTTAAAATAGATATGAATGGTACCTGTATTGTGGTGGGGAGGTTCATATTATTTCCATTGTTTCCCTCACAGTAAATCTATCATATTGACTTGTTTATGTTTTCTTTATATGCTATAGAGATTATGTTTTGGAATCTAGCCCAGTGGTCTCTCTCTGCTGAGGAGTAAGAGTTTGGGCTGGAGGAAACAAACCCCGTGGGGCATACTAGAAGAGATGAAGGTCTGTTGATCTTGGTCTCAATTTTTGCTTCTCTCACTAAGCAGAGTATTGTGACAAAGCTGATTTTCTGAGCTTCCTCAGTCCCTTCAACCCACCATAAAATTCAAATAATACTACTAAACCAAAGGATTGTTTGTGGAATAAATGATGTAGATTGTACACATAATTTCTCACACTATGGTAGGTTGTGTGCTACTAAAAGTTATGCTACCAGCACTTAAAATATTAGCAGAGACGTTGCCGTGGCTGTTCATGGTGGCATTGACCCCAGTGGTGAGGGACTGTACTATGCTGAATTTTTACCATTCTTGGCCAAACCATCAGACACCAACACTACCAACAAACAGTCTGGGAAGAAGTTTGGTAGCTGTAAGACTGGGTGTTGTATCCTTTGCATTTGCAGGTTGGTATCTATTTTAAAACTACTATTACTGTTCTCATTCCTATCGTGTTCATAGGGTTTTTTAAAGCCTGTTATTTAAGAAGTAGATGGCCCATCCTTCTTCCTAGTCTGTCTGAATCAGGAGGCTCCACCAAAACCTGTCTACCATGGGTAACTCTTATGGCATTTCACACACCAGTGGCACAGCTTTCAGAATGACAGCAAACTCAAGTTATCTCAGTATAGCAAACTGACAGACAAGTGCTGTACCACCTAGAACAATCTTCTCTCCAAACAAAATTAACACCAATTAAATAAAAAAATCAAAACAACCTACCTTCTGAGATCTAACTGTTCCAAACTGGAGACTCTTAAGCAGGACCCAACCAACTTTTAAATACAAAGGCTTACCCACTAGGTTCTGATTGTTTAAACAAGAGGCTTCCAGCTCACAGCTGATTGTGAACTAAATCAAAACAGCCTGTCTACTTACACTTGATTGTTAACAAAATTAAAAATGTCTAAACAGTTTATACCTGACTTTCAATTAAATGAAAACAACTTAATCTCCAGAATCCAACTGCACCAAACTGGAGACTGTTTGGCTTTTGAGCTGTGATGTTGGAGAAGAGCACTGAATATCCCATGGATGACCAAAGGAACAAATAGATATGTGTTGGATAGGATGCAGCCAGAGTGTTCTTTGGAGGCAAGAATGATGAGGCTTTGCCTTTGCAAGTTGCTAGAAAGGGCTGGCTATTCCTTGGAGAGGGACAGGATGCTTAGAAAAGTGGAGGGCCAATGAAGGAGAGGAAGACAACCCTCAACCAGGTGGTTTGACATGTTGTCGGTGATGAAGGGCTCTTATGTTTTAGGAAGTGTAAAGATGGCACAGGATAGAACAGGGTTCAGATCTTTTGTTCACAGGGTCACTATGACTTGTATTCTACTGGATAGCACCTAACAACAACAACAATGCATTTTACATCTGAAAACCTCTAGAACAAGGAAGCACAAAAACTACAAAGAGGATTTCAAAGCTTAGCTTTTCATCATACTCTGTAAGTCAGTCCTGAGTTTCAATACTTAAGAATGCTGTGGTTAGAATATTGAAAGATCCAGGAAGTATTAAAAGAAGATGGAAAGAGTATGTAGAGTCCCTGTACCAAAAAGAATTGGCTGGCACAAGAATTTCAGGAAATAACATATGAGGCAATGATGATGAAGGACGAAGTTCAGACTCCTCTGAAGTACTTGACAACAAATAAAGCCCCAGGAATTGATGGAATACCATTGACATATTTCAACAAACAGATGCTGCACTGGACATGCTCACCAAGTTGTGCCAAGAAATCTGGAGTAAGACTACCTGGCCAACTCATTGAAAAAGATCTACATGTATTCGATTTTGTAAAAAGGTAACTCAAATGAGTATGAAAATTATCAAACAATATCATTCACATCAAATGCAAGCAAAATTCTGATGAAAATTATACAGAAAAGACTGGGGCATTGACAGAGAACTACCAGAAATAAAAGTTAGGCTTTAGTAGAGGTCATGCCATTAGAAATATTATTGCCAATGTCAGATGGATCTTAGCAGAAAGCAAAGAGTACCAGAAAGATATCTATCTGTGTTTAAAATGCAAAGGCATTTGACTATGTGGATCATAATAAATTATGATTAACCTTGAGGAGACTGGGAACACTTGACTGTGCTTATGCAAAACCTATACTTGGACCAGGAAGCAATCCTCAGAACAGAGCAGAGAAAAGCTGCTTGGTTCAAAATCAGGAACAAAGAACATCAGGGATGCATCCTGTCTCCCTACCTTTTCAATCTATATGCAGAATAGACCATTTTGGAGGCTGGGCTTTATGGGGAGGAATAGATTGAAGGAAAACTCATCAACAACCTCCATTATGCAGATGACACAACCTTGCTTGCTAAAACTGAGGAGGACCTGAAGTGCTTGCTTCCAAAGGTCAAGGACTGTAGTCTTCAAAGTGTATTGAAGCACAACATCAAAAAGACAAAGATTCTCATCACTGGGCCAATTGGCAGCACCATGATGGATAGAGAAGAGATTGAGGTTGTTAACAGTTACAACTTGCTCAGCTCCACAATTTTGGCACCAACAATCAAGAAAGCAATAGACGAATTGCATTAGGCAAATCTGCTGTCAGGTACCTTTCCAGAGTGATGAGAAGCAATGATTTCAGTCTAGACACTAAGATGCACCTAATCCAGGCTAGGGTCTTTACAATTACTTGCTATGCATCAGAGAGCTAGACAATGATTAAGGATGACAGAAGAAGAATTGATGGCTTTGAGTTGTGGTGCTGGAGAAGAGTCTTGAACATACCATGGACTACCAAGATAACAAATAGGTCTGTCTTGGAGAGGGTGGAACCAAGTTTTTCCTTGGAGGCTAGGATTTTGAAGCTCAGTCTCATATACTTTGGGTATGTGGCCAGGAAGGACCAACCCTTGAAAAAAGGATGTCATGCTCAGAAGTGTGGAGGGACAGCACAGGAAAGGAAGACTCCAGGTAAGATGGAGTGATACAGTAACTAAGGCAATGGGGGGATAGGTTTGCTGGAATTAGTGAGATTGGCTCAGGACAGGACAGACTTCAGAGCTGTTGTACGTAGGGTCATTATGAGTCACAGGCGACTGGACAGCACAAAACAATGACAACATAAGGAGGATTTGAACAGAAAAATGAGCAGGTTAGAAGGAAGCTAGTCCTATTTGAAGTGCAAGTTCATCTGCTGACAAGGCCAAGATTAGAACAGACCACAGGAGAATCATTGTTTTTCTATCACCCAGATAAATGTGGATCTCCTTATTTAGCAACCAAAATAAATGAAGCAAAGGACTTTCTGGAATCAAGCACTAAGCACTACTTGATGCTCAAGTATGACTGTCAGGAAAGAATCAGAAATGAACTTTGAAAAGTCTTCATAAATATTATATAAGGACCACATCATTATCAATTGTTATTGTTATGTGTGATTGAGTCACCTCTGACTCATAGCAATCCTCATAGCAGCCTGAAGCCGGCTGGCCCTACACTGAGCCAGTCTTGCTGACTCTGACACAACTACCCCAATTACCCCAGTTACTGTGTCAAGCTGTCTCTTCCAGGGTCTTCCTCTCCTGTCCTGTCCTTCCTCCTATCCAAGCACGATGTCTTTCTCCAAGGACTGGTCCTTCCTGACCATGTGCCCAAAGTATGTGAGATGGACCTTAAAAATCTTGGCCTTTAAGGAGAAACTTAGTTATTTAAGACAGACCTGTTTGTTCTCTTAGTGGTCTATGCTCTTCTCAATACCCTTCTCCAGCACCACAACTCAAAAGCATTGATTCTTTTTCTATTATCCTTAGTCATTTATACAGCTCTCTGTTGCATAGCAAGAAATTGTGACGATCATGGCCTAAATCTCTAGAGGGGAATATCATTGATATCACTGCTTCTCAGTACTCTGAAGAGATCCAGACAGTAGATTTTCCCAGTACAATTCAACTTTTGATTTGTTTCATTTGTTTTTCACCTTCACAATAGCCAATCTTTCTTTCTGGTCTTCCTTAGCCTGAAATGCCTCCTTCAAAGGTGACTCTGCTAACATTTTTTTACAAGAAAAAATATCAATAGTAAAAAAAAAAAAAAAGTTAGCAGAGTCACCTTTGAAGGAGATATTTCTAAGGAAGACCAGAAAGAAGGATGGGCTATCTACCGAAAAAACTGGCCAGTGAAAATATTATGAATCACAGTGAAATATTACCTGATAAAAATGCCAGAATATGAGCCCCTCAGGTTGGAAGTCACTCAAAATTTGATTATAGAAAAGCTACCTCCTCAAAGAAAAAAAATAGCCATAATGACATGATGAAATAAAACTTTTTTGCTGAAGTGGCATGGATTAAAATAAGAAAAGAAGAGAAGCAAACATCCATTAATATTTGGACGATAGATGTATAACATGTGAACCTAGGAAAGTCCGGAGGTCAAAAATGAAATGAAACTTAGAAAAATTCATATTTAAAGCACTGGTGAGTCGAAATGGACTGGTATTGGATATATTGAAACAGATAATCTACTACACGAGTAATGAAAAAGCAAATTGTTTTCAGTGATAGGATAATACCTATACTTATACAAGGAAGCTCTACTAATATGACCAGAATTCAAATTCACACAACTACTAAAACCAAACAGGAGGAAACAGAAGATTTCTACCAGCATCTACAGCTTGAAATTGATCAAACATGCAATCAAGATGCATTGACAATTACTGGAGATTGGTTGCAAAAAATTGAAAACCAAGGAGAAGGATTATTTAAAAATCAGCAATAAGTTGAGAAATATGATATCGGTGATAGAAATGAGGCCAAAGATTGGTTTTGTTGTTTTTGTTGCTGGGTGTCATTGAATTGAGTATGACTCATAGTCACTCTAAACAACAGACCCTGAACAGACGAGAATCTTATTCTGTGCCATCCTCATCATCTGACACACTTGAGTCCTTTACTGCACTCACTGTGTCAATCCACCTGGTTGAGGATCTTCCTGTCTTCCGCTAATCCTCTCCACCTTTCCAAGTATGATGACCCTCTCCAAATAACAGTCTTAAGTAAGTGAGATGAACTTTTGTCATCTTTGCTTCAAAGGAGAATTCTGGCTACACTTTCTCCAAGATATATGTTTTTTAGTAGTCCATGGAGTATTCAGTACTTTCTCTAACACTTCAACTCAAAGGCATCAATTATTCTTCTGTCATACTTATTCATTATCAAGCTCTCAAATGTATAGCAAGTGATTGAAAACACCGTGGCATGAATCAGGCACACCTTAGTCTTCAAACTGATATTATTGCTCCTCAGTACTTTGGACAGGTCCCTGACAATATACTTTCCCAATGCAATATGTCTCCTGATCTCCTGACTGCTGGTACCAAGCGTGTTGATTGTGGATCCAAGTAA